ATATGTTCCATGCAGCATCTGGTGCATGCACTCTACACTAATACACTATTATATGTTACAAATGAAATGTTTTACAATTGACAATTAATAATTATATTAAAGATGCAAGTTTTGAATATATAAAAAAAATGCTGATCTGATTGGATTGCTCACTTTTGCAAAATGTTTTGCAGAATCTGGTGTCTAATATTAATCCTGAACTTGAATGACATATTTTATTATCATACAGATCAAAATATGAACCCGCAAATGGTCCAATATCCAAGGTATGAAATGAACCCCCAAATGGTCCAATATCCAAGGTATGAAACGAACCCCCAAATGGTCCAATATCCAAGGTATGAAATGAACTCCAAAATGGTCCAATATCCAGGGTATGAAATGAACCCCACAATGGTCCAATATCCAAGGTATGAAATGAACCCCAAAATGGTCCAATATCCAAGGTATGAAATGAACCCCAAAATGGTCCAATATCCAAGGTATGAAATGAACTCCAAAATGGTCCAATATCCTGGGTATGAAATGAACCCCACAATGATCCAATATCCAAGGTATGAAATGAACTCCAAAATGGTCCAATATCCAAGCAATGAAATGAACCCCAAAATTGTCCAATATACAAGCAATGAAATGAACCCCGAAATGGTCCAATATCCAAGGTATGAAATGAACCTCAAAATGGTCCAATATCCAAGGTATGAAATGAATCCCAAAATGCTCCAATATCCAAGCAATGAAATGAATCCCAAAATGGTCCAATATCCAGGGTATGAAATGAACCCCACAATGGTCCAATATCCAAGGTATGAAATGAACTCCAAAATGGTCCAATATCCAAGCAATGAAATGAACCCCAAAATGGTCCAATATCTATGGCATGAAATGAACCACAAAATTGTCCAATATACAAGCAATGAAATGAACCCCGAAATGGTCCAATATCCAAGGTATGAAATGAACCTCAAAATGGTCCAATATCCAAGGCATGAAATGAACCCCAAAATGGTCCAATATCCAAGGTATGAAATGAACCTCAAAATGGTTCAATATCCAAGGTATGAAATGAACCTCAAAATGGTTCAATATCCAAGGCATGAAATGAACCCTAAAATGGTCCAATATCCAAGGTATGAAATGAACCTCAAAATGGTCCAATATCCAAGGTATGAAATGAATCCCAAAATGCTCCAATATCCAAGCAATGAAATGAATCCCAAAATGGTCCAATATCCAGGGTATGAAATGAACCCCACAATGGTCCAATATCCAAGGTATGAAATGAACCCCAAAATGGTCCAATATCCAAGCTATGAAATGAACCTCAAAATGGTCCAATATCCAAGCTATGAAATGAGCCCCAAAATGGTCCAAAATCCAAGGTATGAAATGAACCCAAAATAATCCAATATTTTTGACTTCCTCTTGTAAGGTCAAAAACATACTGGTCCTAATGTTACATAAACAAATAACCCTTTGCAAAAATAAATGATAATTCTTAGATCTGGGTTTAAAAAAGTGGGCCAGGAGATAAAAAAAACAATGGTTGAACCAGCAACCCTCCACCCCAAAGTAATCAAATTTTCATTCATCTGCTTGTGTGTAAGTTAAATTACCAAAACCAAAATATATACATATTTATGCAATTAGTGATACATATTTATGCAATTGGTGATACATATTTATGCAATTGGTGATACATATTTATACAGTTGGTGATACATATTTATGCAATTGCTGATACATATTTATGCAATTGCTGATACATATTTATGCAATTGGTGATACATATTTATGCAATTGGTGATACTTATTTATGCAATGGTGATACATATTTATACAGTTGGTGATACATATTTATGCAATTGCTGATACATATTTATGCAGTTATTGATACAAATTTTATACAATTGTTGATATATATTTATGCAATTACTGATACATATTTATGCACCTGGTGATACTAAAGTCTTAATGAAATAGAAAATGATATGCTTGAATTAATTTGAAGTAACAAGGACATTTCTTCTGTCCCCATCTCCAGCAAAAATAAAATCAATCTCCAGGCCTTGATGAACACATTGTCAGTATCTAGTCCCTAAGAGACCATTCCCTAACAGATATTGACCAGATCAATTAATTCCACTATTCCAGGAGGATATATGCCAGCTCTTGGGAAATGTCTAGATGGACTGCAATTGAACCTTGATGGCTCTAGGCAAACAGATTGAAAACATAACATGCACACCAAAACAGAGACACACGAAACAATGGGAACCAAATAAGGAAACAACTCTAAAAAATATGACTTGCACAATCCTACAAAATAAATCTATATAGTTCAAAAAGAGACTCTGGCAAAGTGACTTCACGGAAAAAACACAAGAAAAGGAGTGGAAATCTGCTCCAGAGCAAATAGCTCTTGGAGAAGATAGTAAAATCCTAAGTTTTAGATGGAGAAGTTTGAAACTTGGTTTGTGCAGGCTCTGAAATGAGTTTGGGAGAAAACTGACCCATCAACAAGAATACATTTTTCACAATACAATAAGAAATTTGGAAAACAAAACAATCAGCAACCCTGTACAAAATTAAACACAAAAAAGAAAACAAATCAAGGGAGAGGGAACAAGAAAACAAAAAAAGGGGAAACTCTTGAGGAAAATGGTGTCACTTCTAAGCCCTTACCAGCTATGTGCTGAGACAGGTGAAGTAGTGTCAACAGAAAAAGTCCCACAGTCACTACCATAGAACTTGCCTACTGATACAATAGCCATATTATCTGGTCTACATTAATTAAAAAGTTGTGAACAGAGAATTATCTTGATTTTCAAAATGGTGAAGACATTTGGTGTACATTAATTTATATAACGTTCAAATTGATCTCTATATTGAAATGTTAAAGTAAATTCACAAGAGCCAAGAACATCAGATAGAATTTACTGCAAAAAAAATGAATAAAAGTTTTTTTCATTAATTTTTTCATTTCCAAAAAATATTAACATCAGTGATACCTTATTGATCCACTTGCTCTGGCAAAGCTGGTGTTTGCATTTGTTTGTGTACCCAAATTACCATGTGTCCAATCATCAGGCAACATCAATTAGCATTGTGAAACTATAGGCATCTGTGTGAGAAACTGTAGATATCTGTGGTAAGCCTATAAGCCTGATTTTCTTCTTGATTAATAATAGTTGTAACAGAACTGCATAAGGTTAATGGCCATCAAATACAGACAAACTCTGAAGGTCAGGCATCACTGAAATTAGTCTTTTTTGCAGATGAACTTGTAACTTCTTAATAGTTTATGAAATTCTTAGACTTCTGATGGAGTTGGAAATGATATTTCCCATGAAATGCTAGAACATCTTCCTACTCTGGATTCCCCCATTTTCTTTTGATTTTGCACATCACAAAGTTTTCAATTTTTCAAATGGCTGACTCTGAGGACTGTTTTCTGATGTTTCATCTTGACTTTGTAATGCTATACTTGAGAACTCCTATTACAAAATGTTCCAGCAGCCTTTTACAAGGTATCATGTGAGATGTACTGTACTCAATCTGTTGTTGCCTTGCCTGAATGACTACTCTAGGGAACTATCCCTCTACAGTGCTGTCTTGTCAAATATAAAGACTTCACCTAATTGACTGAATAACCCAGGGAACTGTCCCCCTAAAGTGTTACTTGTCCAGGATATATTCTTCACCTGAATGATTAACCCAGGAAACTGTCCCCCTTAACAGTGCTGTCTTGCTGAGTATAGTGCACTAACTTGAATGACTAAACCAGAGAAAATATTCAATAAATGATGTTAAAAATCAATAAATACAGTTCTGCTGGTCAAATTTGTTTTATGAATGGAACACAGTTCCTCTGAATGAGTTTACACACATAAATGAAATGAAGGAATGGACTTTCTCAATGTTGTCCTTTGTGATCAGGTGTATTTCATAAAGAAGAGTCCACTAAGGATGGAATAATAGTAAATAAATAGAGAATATTTTCTTCTCCTGTTAAAAATTGATATATTTCATCATGTGGTACCAAAAAAAATGTGATATTGTAATGAGTGGCAAAGCCAAGAGTTAAAATGTATCGTGTTTGGTACCTTATGATAAAATATATCTATTATTAACATGGGAAAAGAAAAAGTTTTTTTTTAAAAACTACTTAAAAATTTTTACTTAAAACTATTTAAAAATTTTTTAAAATTTAAAATTGAAATTTAGAAGATTAAACTCACTTCCATAAATTTCATAACTTTCATAAATTCACTTTCACAGGCTGATCATATAAATGTATGTGAAAGCAGCATGAATGGATTTACTAAATTTTATACAGTAAATTAAATTTTTGTCATTTTGTAAACTATCTGACCGATCTGAAAACTGCAATTCCAATTAAGCAGTGCATCATCGCAGTAAGCTTGTGATTCTTGTCAAGGAAGTAAGGAAAAGAAACTTTAGAGAGACACAAACAGCAACATGTCAATTTCTTTATCAAAGGTTAATTTCCATTTCTGAAATGTAAGGCAGTTTCCATTTATTTGCTCAGCTAACAAAGTACTCATTTTTGTTGTTGAAGGTACAACTTTTATAGGCATACACAATCATGTATAACTGGAATGATGGAAAGAAAATCTTATATTTTCACATGTGCAAATAAAAGGATATATTTTTCACGTCTGAAATATTAGAATATGTGAAAATATAGAGAACAAAAAAAATATAAAAATTATTTTGCAAAAAAAAAGACTTAACTGTAATAAATAATACTGATGAATAAATGCATTGGTCTACTTGTCCATTATCTCCTCCTTCCCAAGGGATATTTCCTGGATGAACCATAGTTGATTGGAAAGAAGAATACAAGTATATCAAATAAAGTTAAACAATGAGTTTCTTTTATGATGATTTAAATATCGCAGTTTTCGCTCACCAAATCAACCCTGCCTCGCTCATCATCAACAGATTTTCCTTATGTTCTTTGTATCACCAAATGGTGACTGCTCCTGTGGCCTAAGTAGTTAGAGTGTTTGCCTTAGATGCAGGAGGTCATGGGTTCGAATCCCAGTCGAGTCATACCAAAGACATAAAAACTCTACGAGCAGCATTAAAAGGTCAGTGTTAGGACTGGTTGACCCGATGTCAGGATAGTGTGACTGGGTGTTCGGCATGACACCTCAGTGTTAGACATCACTACAAACTGTCACATTGCAGTGCAGACATTGTAGCAATATGACTGAAAAATTGTTAAAGCTATGATAAAAATCCCAATCACACACACTCTCACACACACACACACACACACATCAAAAAAGGCCTGCTACTGTTTTTAATTTTGCATTGTTTTATCCTGTATGTGGACAGTTTACAATCCAAGAGCTCATTAGTTTTCAGATCTACATGTAAGATGGTCCTGCTTCCAAATTTATAGTCACTGATAGCTCAGACAATAGTACATTGACCTTTTATGTTTGTCAGTAAATGCAATTTATCTTCTCATGTTTAATGACCATTAAATGCAGTTTGCTTTACCTGATATGCAGTATCTCAGAACAAAGATGCATGCCAGCATTGATTTATACCCTAGTCTCAACATCAATGGGGGGTTCTGCCCACCTTATTTGCTAGCTAGATCTGTCCTCACTTCACCTCTGTTCAATGACCTTTGGAATATAAGATAACACCATTCTTCAACCTCTACCAGACAAACAGGATCCAGCCTGAGACAAATGTCTGAACACTTCTTCAATTGGTGGAAAACATGCTGGTTTTGTTTTGGCTTGTGTTTTATGGTACAGCAACACAAGGTTTTTTAGTGCCTAGGCAATTAGAATAAAGTGCCTTACCCAAGGACACATAACTGTAGCAGACCTGGGTTCATTTGGTGATAAGATTCAACCAGTACCCTTCACCCTTTCAGTTCAAATCCACCATAATAACTGAAATAAAAGTAACAGCTGACATGGCTTACACAAGTATCTTAATCATTAATAAATTTTTCCCAAAGGTAGACAACCAAAACATAATCTTGATAAATTTCTTTTTGTACTGAGGCTCAATTTCATTATCCAAAACAGAATACATTAGCTACTTATCTTCTCATGTTCAATGACAATTGAATACAGGTTGCTTTCCTCGATAGGCATTATCATAAAACCCTTCACTACAAGGCTATATGTCAACTCTGATCTGCACCATGCTCAGTTCTCCTGCCAAATTAAATTAATTAGCAATACAATGAAAGTGTTTTAGATGCAGATGTCTTCTAGAATGATTTTACTCACATACTGCAGGCAGCTGTGATAATGACCATTTTGTGTGAACTCTGTACCAGATTTCATTTTATCCAGGTGACTTGCTTAAAACTAGCTAGTGTAGAGGCACCAAACTCCAAACACTTAAATCAGTAAAAAATCTCCAAATTTCTTTGCAAGTTTTATGAACTGTTCATGAAAGAGATTTTGTTTCTTTATTTTTCAAACTGAGAATCATTCTTTTGTTTAATTCAAAATAAAGTTCAATATCTGGCAACCCTCCCCCCTCAAACAAACTAGAAGTGTGTTTGGAGAAACATCTATGCCACACCATACCATAGTCACACACAGATAAAAAGGACCCAAATTATCAACTACCCATGGATATAACCAGGAGAATAATCCAATGGCTGCAAGACTACAATAAGCAATGGAGGTATATGATAAAGTTTGATATCCCAAATAAAGTGAAAACAAGACGAAGAACTATTTAAATGTAACCAATGAGAAAAAAACCAGGAACTCTAACTACCCCAAAAATATTTTTCTACCCAACGACTCCATCTTCTGCATTTAACTGGGAATAACTAACTTTCTTGAAGATGACAAAACAAACAAAAAATGTGTACCAATTTATTGATTCCACAGCTGCACCCAAAGACATCTGGTGAAACAGAGATATTGGGAAAAATATTGTGTCATCATTAAAGTAAATTGGGAGAATGTTATTACAATATTAGACAAAAAAAATATTCAGCACAATAGCATCCTTCCTTTCAACCTCATTTCCATCCAATGGTAAATAATGTAAGAAAAGCTGTAGGATCCTATTGCTTAAGGTCATCTCATTTCCATCCAATGGTAAATAATGTAAGAAAAGCTGTAGGATCCTATTGCTTAAGGTCATCTCATTTCCATCCAATGGTAAATAACGTAAGAAAAGCTGTAGCATCCTATTGTTTAAGGTCATTTCATTTCCTCTGTGACATGTACCATATTCAACCTTATAAGAATCTTGTTAGCACCCATAACCTTTTTCTTGAAAATGTCCACAATGTTAACATAACTTCCAAGATAAAAAAATTATTTATCATTAAAAAATTTTGGTGGAAAAAAGGGTTTTATTTGTAGACTTTCAGTTTTTTAATGTATGTATGTATGTATGTATGTATGTATGTATGTATGTATGTATGTATGTATGTATGTATGTATGTATGTATGTATGCATGTATGTATATATGTATGTATGTATGTGTGTGTGTGTGCACGCGTGCATGCGTGCATGCATGCATGCATGTATGTGTGTGTATGTATGTATGTATGTATGTATGTATGTATGTATGTATGTATGTATGTATGTATCCTTAGTAGTAGTATTAATGATACATCAGCACAATAAGGGTTTAACAGTGCTGATTAAAAGTCAAGTTCTAAAGATCTAGACAAAATATCTAAACACAAAAGATCTACACATAAAACTGCTAAAGATAAAGTCTTCAAAGTAAATGATTACATGTAGTAACATCAAAATGGTAAAGATGGTAAAATTCAATGTATGCTGTGTATGAAATAAATGACATAAAAATAAAATATAAAAACCTTAAATTACTAAGTCATATATATATATATATATATATATATATATATATAGTGTATATAGTGAATTACCTCAAAAAATGAACAATTTTCTCAGGTGGTACATCATAATATAGTTTCCCAAAATAAGTTCATATAAAAAAAACATCAGTATCTCATAGTGGAAGTAAATACACTAAATATTTTACAAAGGTTGTATAATTTTACAGATAAATGTATACAAGTTAAAGAGGAAACTTACTTGCATATCAAAGCTGTTGATGGTTTCTCCTAAGTAACTGACATAGTTTAGTATACAAAATGTCATCTAACTAACTGGCATTATTGTCACCTTGTTCAGAGACTTTTAATGCCATTCATGTTATTAACAGTAAACTAATTATATCAAAAGTTTTCATCATTACTGTAATGTTCTCCCAAATTATGGTATAGCTTTACTTGAAAATTATTTATAAACCAAATGAATATTTAAATAAAACAAATTATTATGCTGCTCTTGGATTAAAATGACAAGCCAAAGTAGTAAATATCTATGAACAACTGTATCATGTTGACACATATGCTGAGTTCTTTCTTCCTTATGCCAAGTGCATGTCATTGGTAACCATAAATGATCACAACTTGAGTTATTTGTGGAAACAAAATTGGTAACAGAAACACTGAGACAATATCAAAACATAATATGCTCCACCATCTGGTGTGTATTTGGTATGCACCATTATAAACTATCCCTTCAGTTGACTTTTACATCAGCTCTAAGTACAGGTTGCATTCATTTGTTAGCCAACTTTTCTAACCAACTGTAACTTTTTTTTTACTCTTTATATTATTTTTACATAAGCTAACAACAGTACCATAAATGGCGCATTATACTCTCATCATGTGGTAAATGGTATTGTACATTTATGTAAAATACTTTTCCATTTGTGAGACACCTGATATTTTGAATTCTCAATCAATAAGTGTTTTCCATAAGGGATATGCAATTAATCCACAATCTGTCATCAAAGAAAAAAAGACAAGCATTCAGTTATTTAAGATAAACCATTTTTATTCTTTCAGCTTTAGTGGCCTTGACCTCTGACCTATTAAACCAAACACTAAAGGTTATTTCGGGTCTCAAAATGCAGACCATCATAAAGCTTTATGGTTTATGACATTGATTTCAAGTTATTTTGTGCAAAATCAATTCTCATTCTTGGGATTCCATCTGATCTTGAACTCTGACCTTTCAACCCCAGATCAATTGGTATCTTCTAGGTCTCAAATGCAAGCCTACTACCAAGTTAAGTCCAAGCATGTTGCAGAGAAATTAATAGTTTTAAGAAAAATTTTTGTTCCTTCTTTTCTTTCTCTTTGAATGAGACAGCTTGACCTTTCAAGAACCCAAAAGGAATATATACCTTCCTTGCTTCAAATACAAGAGAGTCACAAATTCATGTGAGATCAATATCAACCAGAGTTCTTCTTAGAGTCACTATGATTTGAACCTTTTGATCCCCAATCTAGAGTTGTCCTTCTGATTTAAAATACAGAATACCAAATCTATTCAAGATGTATATTATGTTCAAGGTGTATATTATATACATGAAGTTATTGTGTGGAAATATTTTTCATTCTTTCAGTTCCTGTTACCTTGACATTTGACCTTTTGAATCTGAAATCAATAACTTTCTAAGATGCTTTGAAAGCAAACTAAAAATCTGGTGATGGTAGATGGTGGTGAATTCAAGCAGCGACCTGAGCAGGTGGATACACAGATGGACATCATTATAAAATGCACCTAACCTATATCCTGAAACCATTATCAAACATGACACATTGATACATGATACATTGATACATGATACATTGATGCATGATACATTGATAAAATGCTGGAATTTGGACAAGTTGATATCAACAGTATGGTCAATCATTCTGCTGATTTGGACTGGGCATGAAAGACCCCATGACCTTGACCTCTAAGCCGAATCCCATGAGATATTCTATAACCTATGGTAAACATTTACACAGTGTCACATAATAACTGTAGATACTGATGGATTCAACATTTAAAGAAACCTATTTTATAATTTGCCATGGCAAATCTCATGCTTTTTATTAAACCTGACAATAACCTTGACCCACAAGTCATAACCCAAACTTTTATTAACATTTTATGTGTATCTTCACACTACAAAAGTTTGGTCAATGTAATCTGAATTTTTTAAAATGTTACTGTAAT